ACAACACCCCAAAAAAACAACTCCCAAAAACAACAACAACAAGCTAACAAAAAAACAACAACCTATGACCACAAGTCTCCTGTGAGACTGTGTTACTGTATGCCCATCTGACTTTGCAAGAAAGTTAAACATTTGCGTACCGGCTACTGTGATATAGCGGTAAGGGGCTTGGCTGTTGCACAAAAGGAGACCAGAGTTCGATTCCAGAGAGGAGACAAAATCCATATTGACCGAGTATATCTGTCTTACTGCTGGGATGTTTGTTCCCTCTCAGCTCGGGCTGGCCTCCTAAATGATCTAAGTTGCGTTGCTGGGATCGTAAAAACACCTTCATTAAAAGAAACAGAAGCACATTTGTGTTTTAGAAGTCATCAAAGTGTGGGGGCCGGAGTGTTGAGTTGGGTGTCTGGACTTAACTCTTCCCTCAGGGGATTAAAAAAAAAATTTCTCCGCTTAAGTTTCCTGGTAAGGGATAACGTGCTCCATCTCTTTACTGATGTCTTAATCATGTCTAATAGAGAAAGGGGGGTCAAAATTTAATGTGAGTACCATTTCATTCTGTCGTGTGAATGGTTGGGTTGTGTTTATCTGGAAGTGTAGCCCCTTTTTCCTGGCTCTGTGTTGCCAGTTTTGTAGTGGTGTATCTGTCTTAAGAAGACACTGTGCGGAATGGTTTGATTTTTTTTTCAAGGCGTGCTGTGATTTTGCATTCTGCCAAAAAAAAGTGAAGCCAGCTGCTGAAGCACATTTGGTTCTTGAACTTTGCCAATGCTCAGAAATTTCTAGAGTCCGTGGAATCTGAGTGGAATCTTGACATGTTTTATTAAATTCTTCTAGGAATGTTGCTCCGGTCCGTCCATCTAGTGCCAAATGTTTTAATGCTCTGCGTATCGAGAGGCCTTAAGTCGTGACTAGTCCAATGTTATTTTTTCCCCACCATCTTTCCTATACTATCAAACATCTATCGTCCTTATCTGTCCTCCTTCTTTTTGTTGTATGTTACTCTTTAGTAACACTTCGAATCTTCTGCACTTATACTTATATGGCCTATTTGTATTGCAATTGCTGCAAAATTTAGCTAAAACGAAAACTTGTTCTAGAGCTTCAGGAGAGGAATGCTTCCTCAGGTTTTGGTTGGTACTTTGGCCGCGTGCAGCAGCTTTAACACTAAAAATAGAAGCAATCTATCTACCTGAGGTGGGTGGGTGGATGCCTTCCAGACAGCTGGAGCTTTGATATGTGCGTGTAGAGCATGCTTAAGTGTCCAGTTTCTAGATTTACTGTCCCCCTGTCCCTTATCCCCCCCCCCCCCGAGTAACAGCTGTGACTTACAATGCATGCCTTGCATGAAACTGACAAATTCAGCTGTCATTTGTTCGTAGACATGCCAATATTTCAATGTCTTTAGGAGTCCAAGGACAATTTGTTTTTTTTACACAAATAATGTTAACTTTAAATTACTGTTGAAAAACTGAATTCAAATAAGACATCTTTTCGCAGCCCACTTTTCTGTTTATCTCTCTTTCATTTTACAGTTGAACTCCAGCACCTTTAGTTATGTTATTTTGGAACACATGGTGCTGGTTATTAATGACTCCGAGACATAAATAATGGGTACAGTTGACGATTTTGTGGACGCGTTGGACAGGGATTGTAATGGACTGGCTAAAAATATAGGAAAAAACGTGTCATGGGAAAATGGCGGTTATTACTAGTGACTACCATAGAGACGTGGCCACCAATGCCAGTTTGACTATTATCTTTAATTTGTTTTAGTTAATGCAATGGTCAATGGGGAACAGCTGCGGCTCTGATTTTAGTTATGTTTATAGTTTTTGTCCTGAGATGGAAGTCGAGAATATAATTGATAATTTCCTACTCTACTGTACTGCTAAATCGCAGCATACATGTGATGCCGATTTGGAAGAGGGAATAATTGAAGATTGATGATTTATACATTTTTCATAGTGGTGGTGGTGGCTGGAGTGGACTTCTGTATTTCAGTACCAAATAATCATGAAAATTATGGTCGCTTAACAATTTCTTTTTTTATTTTTGCGCCCTTTTTTTATTTTAATTAATTTTTTTGTTTGTTAAAATGGCTTTCACAAAGCCGAAAAGTCATCATCCTTAAATGAAAAATAGGAGCTCAGTTTAGCCCTGTAAACGTTTATTCACTCATACGTCAAATGGAATTCACGATGATATAATTTGTAAGCCCAATGGTGGGTTTCAGTCCCCAGTATAGTGAAAGTTTTAAAAAAATAACTTCGTAATGTTTATTTATGGTTGATGCATTCCATTTCTTTTTATCTGTAACTTTTTTCTTTTGAAACAAATAATGTAATATGTCTGTTTCACATTTTGCATCGTGATATATTTGAATTTGTGAGGTGAGAAAAGAAAGATGTTGGACATGCCTTTATAGCAGTCTGAAATTTATATTTCATTGTTCTGATCAAGATATCAAAAGTATCCCTGACAAAAAAACCAATAATAAACAAACAACATCATTCAGTGGCATTTGTGACATTATAAGTTACAACAGATACAAAGAACTCAATTGTTGGCTTTGCACAATATAGGTTCAAAGTAAACCAGTATGGTTTTGGTATTTTCTGGATATGTAAATTGTCAATTTTATCTGCTCATTCAAAGAAAAAAAAATGCTCCTAAAGCGTTTGAAATAAAGGGGAACAACCCGCCAACAGCGAGGTTTCTGCGTGATGAAACCCAATAAGTTGATTGCTTCTCCTGTAAAATTTACCATGCTGGGGGTTACCCGTTCTTATGACTAGAGCGACGTTATGCAGTGTTACTGCGCAAGTGTGCTGTCAGCCTGTACCAGTGTCTGTGGTCTAGTGGTTGGGCACACGCAGAAGTCCTGAGTTCTGGTCCCGTATGAAGAGAGGAAAGAAGAGAAGTTTTATTATCAACTATCTCAATCTTCTTGCTGGGCTGTATCCCTGTCTCCATGGTTTTATGTGAAAATAGTTGTGAAATGATGCAAACTCAGCCCAAAAATGTGAAAGTATGCGATTCTGTTAATTTTAGCAAAGACTGATAAAGGAAAATAATTAGAAATTATGCAAAAAATTATCAAATTTTGCTAAATTATGCGGGGTGCATAAAACCAAGGGGAAGGATACTATCCGTCGCAGCCTGGGTTGGCCCTGACAGGAAGGGTGGAAGCCCGCCTCCTAAATGATGTAAATCGTGTCAATAGGGGTGTAAAAACACATTTTTTAAAAACCCCAAAAACTAAAACTGTTTTTGTTTTCACAAGAAGGGATCTGTTCTTTCAATTTTTCCCTACTTTCGCTACCGTAATAATCTACTGCCTGACTGACTCTTGTATGATCTGATAGAGCTTGTAATGGTGTAAAACATTCCCTCCTCATATGACTTAATTTTTGTGCTTTAAAAAAAAAATCTACTTTCTAGCTATACGGACCTTTAACCCTATCCGTACGCCCTGGGGTCATTTTGTACCCCCGGAGTTTGTATTCTTCACATTTTTTAATACTTCTAGTGCGAAGATCTTCAGTATTTCTCAAAAAATCATTTTGGCAGACTGCTATGCAAAGCGTACGGATCGGATTAACAAGTACATTTACTCTTTGGAAAGGGGTGGCACAGAGTTCTATCGTCTCTATCTCCCCTCCTTCTTTTTTGTGTTTGTTTCTCTCCTGTAAACACCTCTAATCTTCGGCACTTATATGATCTTATTGTGTTGCAAGTGCTGTACAACTCTTACCAAAGCAAAAGAAGCCGCAAGTCATCCTAACCTTTAGTTCTTCTATTTCACCTGAGAAATAATATTCTCCTCTGCAGATGCATCAGTGGTTGTCAGACAATGACAGACGAACTAATATTCTTCTTCTTCTTCTTTTTCTCCTCCTCCTCCACCTCCTCCTCCTCCTCCTCGTTATTATGATTATTATTATTGTAATTATTATTATTATTCTCTTTATTATTATTTTCTTTATCATTGTTATTATTGTCATAAACCGTGACTCTGCAGCGACATCTATGGGATGGGTCCTGAGACCTGAATCGTGGGGTCCGATCTGATCCAATCATTTGCTCATGTTCGTACGTGTACATACCTCTGTGTGTCTGTCTGTCTGTCCGTTGTCGCCCAGTGTGTTTCTAACCCTGGTCCCCCACCTGTGGCTCTTCCAGCAGGGAGGCCAGAGACCCCACACCAAGCTGGAGTACGTGGAGGGAGTGCTCAAACACAAGCTCATCTTCCTGCAGGTCAGTAATAGTAATGAAATAGTGGATTGCATTTATTTTGCGCATTATATCCACTTATGCTATGGGGCTCGGCTAAAACAGCACCTGGACATGGATGGCTTGTGCCTCTATAAATAAATCATTGATGGTCAAGGCAATGGCGCTCCTATGACCGTAAAACCCTCTGCTTTAAAAAAAAAGCGCCGTAAAACCCTCTACTTAAAAAAAGAACAAAAAAAACTTATGCAATGCTCTATGCGCTTAACATGAAACATATTATGGAATTACGAATCAGTTTTATAGGCACATTGTAATCTTCCTGCAGGTCAGTACTATCTTGTTAGTCAGTATGATAGTGTTTTACTTTACTTTTTCGTTACTTTTTCAGTTGGTGGTTGGCGGGTGCTCTGGTGTGGTTTGCTTCTTCTTTCCTATCAAACATCTATCGTCCTTATCTCCCCCTTCTTCTTTTTTATGTTTGTTACTCTTTTGTAACACGTCTAGTCTTCTGGCACTCTTATGACCTTATGCAGTTGCGAACGCCGTAAAACCTCCACTAAAACTAAACTTACCTTTTCATCTTCTGTTGCCGTTTTTTAAGCGCCAAGGGGAGATGCAGTTTTCTATGGTAGGCCAGCTCCGCAGCTCTTTTAATTTGGATAATATTATAATTATAGTGTGTTTTAGCACCTATAAATGGCAGCTTGCACAGTATGTTTGCCTAGGCAGTTGAGATTGTTTCAGAATGCTGTCAGGTCTGCTGGGAGTAATAGTATAGATTGTAAAGCGCGTAGAGCTTACTGTTGAGCGGGAATTGCGCGAAACAAATGCAATCTATTACTATTATTTTTACTACTAACTTGGTGGGTGGTTGGAGGATGCCCTTTCCCCCTTACCCGGGTTCTATTTTATGTGTTGTGTGATGGGGTGTGCGTGTGTGTGTGTGTGGTATGTATATGCGGTGTGAAGTGTGTGTGGTTGTGTGTGTGTGTGTGGTATGTATATGCGGTGTGAAGTGTGTGTGCATGTGTGTGTGTGTGTGATGTATATGCGGTGTGAAGTGTGTGTGTGTGTTTGTGTGCGTGTGTGTGTGTGGTTGTGTGTGTTTGTTTGCGTGTGTGTGTGTGTGTGTGTGTGTGTGTGTGTGTGGTATGTATATGCGGTGTGAAGTGTGTGTGTGTGTGTGTGTGTGTGTGTGTGTACTGCCCTTTGGGTGCAAACAAAGGATCACTACAAGAATCGATCAGAAATCTACCCCTCCCTCCCCTTTGTTTTGTGCCGCCCCCAGGTATCCCCGTCAGAGCTGCAGGTGGAGGCGGACGACTGCATCATCTTCAACGACGGCACCAAGTCGGCCGGCTGCAACCGCGAAGAGTTCCGCACCTACGTGAGTGTGCCTAACTGATTGGAGTGATTCACTAATATCTCCCCTCTCCACCCCCACACCCCTCCCCTCCCCCCTTTAATAACAACCCTTCCCCCCTTCCACCCCAGCCCACACACAACCGACCATACACTATATCCTTTGTCACCTACCACCTCGTATTTACATCTCCCATTTCTCTCATAATTATGTGGCCGGTTGATTGCGTCCTATGTATGATTTATTCCTGTTGTAAAAAGATGGTTGCTATTTTAAGAAGTTCTATTTGAAAGAGTTTTGTCTGTGGTTGTTTTTTTTGGTATGGCATACCTGTGATTTGACATGAATGATGGAATTTGTTGCTTTAATTTCAAGGCTTTAATTCATTTATTTTTTGTACATTTATCAGTACAAAAATTGTAATATATTAAATGGGTAACTGAGATTGAGGTTTTGGGGTTTTTTTCAAAGATATTGATAGATGGTTTGGGGGGGGGATGCATATGGTTGCAGTGTTAGAAATTGATAGAAATTGAGGTAAGGAAACGTCTGAGTAAGTTTGGGCGTAGGTTCAAGTCTAACATCGTCTTTTCCACCGTCTGTTTTCTGAGGTCCTGATGGTGTGTTGAAATGTGAGTGAAAGGGTAGATGTGTCGTAAAATTGTCATCATGATGGTGCTACAGCTATATTGAATTCTGTTACTTGTAAAAAAAATTATACTTTACTTGGAGCGCCATTTTGAATGTAGGCAGGGTGTGAAATAAGCCTTTTTCCTATTTGTTCTCTACGATCCTCCATAAGCTCTTACACATTTACCCTCTGTGATACCATTTGGGCTGAGGGGGGGGGGGGGGGAGTTTGTTGTTGGAATTCCTCAGACGGTTAGCTAAGTCCAGATTTTTTGGGGGGCCTATGGAGTAGTTTGTAGTTGTTTAAGAATAACGCCAAATTCAGCACTGACTGTAAAGTTTTTTTTAAGAGGTGTGGGACCTCTGAAGTTAACATCCATCTCCGATAGGACCTAGTCAAGTTGGGGGTGGGAGAGCCTTGGAAAACTCTTCAAACAAGCCAAGTTCAAGAATGCCCCCATTGTGGATTCAAACCAGGGTCATCTGCACCTCAGTCCAGCATGATATCAGTTGAGCTAATGGTGATGGCTATTTTAAAAGAAATTTCTCTTAAGGAAAAAAGAGAGTCCCTTTTACAAGCACAGAGAGGAATTGTGCTGCTGTATTTTTTTAAGTTACCATCTTCTAGTCACTTTATCAAATGGTTTTTGGTCTCAGAGATTTTTTTTTTGGGGGGGGGGGGGTGGAGGGGTGTCCATCCTGTATGAAGCCAAGAGTTCCTTTGAAATGTTTTTTTTACTGAATTGTAGGGTAAAGTGTAGAGTGTGGACAAAGATTTTAGTGGAAAACTTTGACTAAGGTTTTTCAAGGTTTAAAAGGAGTGTGCAAAGTCTGGATTACAACTGCTGTACAGGACCGTAATGCAGGACAGATGTGACAGAGAGAGAGAGAGGAGAGTGAGTGTGTTTGGGGACAATCTAATGTTGATTATTTGAGCACTTACTTTTGTTGACAAAACCCTGTGGTGTATGTGTGGTGTGGTGTGGTGTGTGTGTGTGCGTGCGTGCGTGTGTGTGTGGTATGTATATGCGGTGTGAGATGTGTGTGGTTGTGTGTATGTGTGTGTATAGCGTCGAGACCAATCATTGCGTGTACTCTGCAACTAGCAGACATTCCATCCATTTTTTTCTTCTCAAATATTGTGCAACTTAATCAGCCTAGTCTTTTTGGAAAAATCTCGTTTCTCCCCAGTCCAAAAAGTGGTATTTTCCCCACTGTATTTTGATGTGATCTTTGTGTTGACTTACATTTGCATACTTGGTCGGCCAGCTGTTCAGATGTACTGAGCCCAGTTTTTAAAAAACATTTTTAACCCTATCCGTACATCGTGTTTTACTATTGTATCCATACGACGTGGGGAACTCTTTTTCCACCACTTTCCAAAGAGGAAATTTACGCTTTAATCCGATCCGTACGCTTTGCATAGCAGTCTGTCAAAATGATTTTTTGAGAAATACTGAAAGTTTCAAAGAGATCTTTGTACTAGAAATATTCTAAAATGTGAAGAATACAACCCTGGGGGTACAAAATGACCCCAGGGCATATGGATAGGGTTAAGAAAAATTACAGGGTTTTTTAATCAGTGGTACCGGTTGTTTGTACTCCTCGAGAAATATTTTGTTGAAATTCAGGCATAACGTAGATACAATTCTTGAAAGAATGGAACATTTTATTCTCACTTTTGAGGAGGAATTACTGTCAGATACTACCGAAGATGATGAGGCTTTAATTAATTAGCTTCAGTTATATGTAGTGGGTGGCAACATTCTCTTTTTTTAAAAAAATTAATTTTTTTAAAAGAAAGAAAAAAAAGGAATTACTTTCCCTTTCTGGGCTTAGAACGTTTGAAGAGCTTGCCGACAACTTGTTGGTTGGTTTATTTATTGATGCTGTCTGCAACGATTGACGCTCTGTTCGGAGTTTTGTTTTGTCCATGCCATGTCTCGTAAGTAAGACCTGTTCTCAGTCGTAGAGATTGCCTTGCCACCATTCCAGAATCACAGAAGAAAAAACCCGCTAATTTTTAGTCTGAATCATTATGTTGTGAAACTGGTGTACCTTAAAAAAATACAGGGCGGGGATGACCCGCGGGGTATCCCGGCATGTTTGCTAGCAGTTAGAGATGGTAAAGGGGTGAAAGATTCAACTTTTTAAATTCTGATTTATTTTGTTGTTGTTGCCTTTGTGCAGGTATTCCCTTTTATCCATCAGGGTACTACTGGCGTTAGGTCAAAGGTTGTCTGCACCCGCCTTCTCGAGCGACTTGTTCTGTTTTATCTGTTCTCGTCTTGCCTAGTGTTGGTCAAAGATTGTCTGCGCCCGCCTTCTCGAGCGACTTGTTCTGTTTTATCTGTTCTCGTCTTGCCTAGTGTAGGTCAAAGGTTGTCTGCGCCCGCCTTCTCGAGCGACTTGTTCTGTTTTATCTGTTCTCGTCTTGCCTAGTGTAGGTCAAAGGTTGTCTGCGCCCGCCTTCTCGAGCGACTTGTTCTGTTTTATCTGTTCTCGTCTTGCCTAGTGTAGGTCAAAGGTTGTCTGCGCCCGCCTTCTCGAGCGACTTGTTCTGTTTTATCTGTTCTCGTCTTGCCTAGTGTAGGTCAAAGGTTGTCTGCGCCCGCCTTCTCGAGCGACTTGTTCTGTTTTATCTGTTCTCGTCTTGCCTAGTGTAGGTCAAAGGTTGTCTGCGCCCGCCTTCTCGAGCGACTTGTTCTGTTTTATCTGTTCTCGTCTTGCCTAGTGTAGGTCAAAGGTTGTCTGCGCCCGCCTTCTCGAGCGACTTGTTCTGTTTTATCTGTTCTCGTCTTGCCTAGTGTAGGTCAAAGGTTGTCTGCGCCCGCCTTCTCGAGCGACTTGTTCTGTTTTATCTGTTCTCGTCTTGCCTAGTGTAGGTCAAAGGTTGTCTGCGCCCGCCTTCTCAAGCGACTTGTTCTGTTCTCGTCTTGCCTAGTGTAGGTCAAAGGTTGTCTGCGCCCGCCTTCTCGAGCGACTTGTTCTGTTCTCGTCTTGCCTAGTGTAGGTCAAAGGTTGTCTGCGCCCGCCTTCTCGAGCGACTTGTTCTGTTTTATCTGTTCTCGTCTTGCCTAGTGTAGGTCAAAGGTTGTCTGCGCCCGCCTTCTCAAGCGACTTGTTCTGTTCTCGTCTTGCCTAGTGTAGGTCAAAGGTTGTCTGCGCCCGCCTTCTCGAGCGACTTGTTCTGTTTTATCTGTTCTCGTCTTGCCTAGTGTAGGTCAAAGGTTGTCTTAGCCCACCTTTTACTAGTCTTTTTCTTCTGGGCTTTGTTCTGTGTGTGCTGACAGCTGTATATCGACAGAGTCTTTTTACTACTATATAGATGCAATGTCTTTTATTTGTTGCTCTCATTTCTGTTTTTGAGAAGTGCAGACTTGATTGGTTTTAATTTTTAATGATTTTCTATTTGTTATATATATGCAACTGCCGACTTGGTCCTTTGCCATAGCTTTTCAAATTTTGGACCCTTTATGAGCATAATAGTGGTTGGATGATGTTGGGGTAAATACGTAATAATTAACTGGAAGATAAAAGGAGACAAGAAAATTTTTGTTGTTGTGTCCATTTGTAGAAAATTTGTTGTAGCTTTTACAAAGTATGAAGACAAGCACAGTTTTAAAATCTTTGCATTCCTAGATATACTCACATTAACCCTATCCGTACGTCGTGTTTTACTATCTTATTTATATGACGTGGGGAAGTCTGTGCCACCACTTTCCAAAGAGGAAATTTACTCATCAATCTGATCCGTACGCTTTTCATAGCTGTCTGTCAAAATGATTTTTTGAGAAATACTGAAAGAGATCTTCGCACTAGAAGTATTCTAAAATGGGAAGAATACAACCTCGGGGGTACAAAATGACCCCAGGGCATACGGATAGGCAATATTGAAATACAAAAATCTGTTAACAGGTTTTTTTTTTCTAGGTTTTTGTCTGAAAATCATGACATGTATTTTTACTTCAATATCTCTCACTCTTTTCCCGGATGAAACTTGATTTGTGTGGAGCGCAGAATTTTTCTTTCTCTCATGTTCATGTCTATATTTTGAAGGAAAATGACTGCTACTACTAGGTGTCTGTCCTAAGTGCTTTAGACATATCTTTTAGTCCTCAAAGAAAAAAAGTAAACTGTGAAGTAGGACCCGTTTTTAATTTTGATAAAAGGGGAAAGGCCAGCAACCCCATTTTTCAGGTGGGGATTTTCTGTCCCCAGATGGTAAAGTAATAACTTTCAGAAGATAAAACAATGAAGTTTGAAAGATAAGTAATGACGTACGGAAGAGGGTTTTAGGGATCATGGGAGAGTTCCACTGGTTGGTCCCACTTCTTTACTTTCCCTCAGATGATTCTGTCTTTCTGTCTGTCTTACTTTTTCCCAACACCATTATATTATTGTGTTGATGTGCTGCTCTTTAATCAAACAGGCAGAAGGCCGGGGGGGAAAAACCGATGAGAAGAAAAAACAAGTTTCTCCGTAGGTCCGTTCTATAGGGGGGGGGGGGGGGAGTGTATGCGTGAGGAAAAGAATTATATAGTCTCAGAGTATATTGCTGAAGATGCAGAAAAAGAAGTTGTTGTGATCATAGATCCAGGCCAAAAAAAAAAGGGGTGGGTTAATTGACCATTTTAGAACAGGCAAAAGTTATGATAGCTCTGCTTTTGTTTTCAAAATGTGAAGAAACTTGGGTACCCCCACTTTGTTTCCTTATAATACAGTGTGTTATTCTGCAGATTGCTTTCTGCTATTTGTATGATGGATGAAGTTCAATTGCTCTTCTCGATTGATGAATGGGGAGCGTTTTATTGTTTATATTCTTTGTCAAACTTGCATTAAACATTCACAACTTGGAAATCAAACTCCATGGCTGTGTTCAATATTTTGTCATGAAATCCTTTATTTTGTATATATTAATTATGCTGTTGGTGCTGATGTTTGGGTTTGTTATTGTTTATTGTTTGTTTCTTTGTCATCATGTTGTTTTGGAGTTGTTTTTTTAGGGGGGGGGGGATTGTTCAGTGTTTGTTAAGAAATATTGAGCAAAGCAATCATAGATAAGGATTACAGGTGTTAAAACTTAAATATGATTTTTACGTTTTCGTTGATCTAAGAGATGGAAGGGAAATCATGGAGTCAGAATCAGTACAGTGGAACCTATTTCAAGATGACCACCCGTTGTTGAGAAGAAAAGTGGACGTCTTAGACTGGTGGTCTTCTTGGACAGTGTCGTTGAAATATTGAAAAAAATGCGGGGGGGAGGGTGAAAAGTGGTTGTTTGTACAGGTGACTGTCTTGGACCAGTAGTTGTTATTGAAGGTTCATCTGTATACTATTTCATCAAGATACTTATTAAGCTGTTGTAGTGAAAACTTTTGGAGGAAGGATATCGTGAACCTAACTGAAATGCATCGTGGAATTGTATACCATTTCACTGAGATACTTATTTACCGGTAGCTGTAATAGTGCAGACTTTTGGAGAATATCATGAACCTATCTGTGAAATACAATGTGCAATGTCTGCACTGTGAGAGACTTACGGACTCCGGTAGGTCAAAAGCATTGAAAAGGATTATGATGGGGGAGAGAGAAATTTATCTCTGCACAGTGTTGCAATGCAGTTGAGTGGTCGGTCTTAAAGGATGAAAATGACAAAGTCGTGTAAAGAAGGAGCATCGCAGACTCACAGAGGTTGACCCTGAATGAAAGATCTGTCTCAAGTTTGTCGACATGGCAGCTGTCTCAAGTTACAGACACTGGTGATGTATGCCACAACGTAAAGCTTTTTCTCGCTGTCTCAACTACAAAGAGGAGTGCATTTAATCAAGCTTCGTGTCAGTTTCTTTCGTGACCTTGTGCAGTGCACAGGACTTCACCCAGGACGAAAGCTGCCGTAAGTTTTATCGTAAATTTTTGTTTATGGTTTGGCTTCTCTCTCACTTCACTTGTCTCTTCGGAGCTCACTGGTGATGTCACACGCTCAAATAAGGCCTGTTGTTTTTTCTTTTTCTGTCACAAAAGCTGCAGAGAAAACTTTATCAGGCTCTTCTCTTTTTCCCCCACTGAGAATGTGTGTCAGGGTAGTATTAGAATAGAAAGCAACATTCGAATCTTACATGGTCGATCCTTTAAATTTTTGTCGGTTATATTGTAGATGGCGAAAATGTTTCTGAACGTTTTAGAACCTGCTGGAGTAATGATATAGTGTAATGTTTTAAACAGAGCTCTCTCTTCTGTTGTCCTGAATGGAAGAGTTTTACCCAATTTCAACTGCTAGGGTGAAAAGACCTACACCTCTTTGCCTTTATAGATCAGCTAATCATTTGCGACGTACACAAATCTCATCTTCAGAATCTTTTACTTTTGTTTCCATTTTGTTGTTGACAAGACGTGTAGACAGAAGCCAAAACTGCCAGGCACCTTGTGTTGAATGTATTTCATTTTGATAAAGACGCTATTTTTTATTTTGAATGCTGTCTGAGATATTTTAATTTATTTTGATTTGGTTTTTGCTGTTGGTCTGCGGATGTGCTGGTAGTGTTTTTGCCTCCCCCTTTATTTTTCGGTTGATTTTAAGTTGCTTGATGTTCTGCATAGACTCCCCCTTAATTTTATTTGAGCTTGTCACCTGTGAATGGAATGTTTTCATCCTTTTTTGTCAGTTCATGAATGAGAAATTTGTTACTTACCCAAGCTTTTATTTAAAGCTGGTTTCTGACAAGATAGCTTCTTGTAAATGTGAAGTGATTTTACTTATAATTATAAACCTCTAATGGGTGAATCATTTTGAATGAAAGCTACTTTTTGCTATTATAATAAGGATTATAACAAGCTTGTTTGTCTTTCAGTCTTTCAGGCAATGACAAAGTAGTTATGGGCTAAAATATTCATACTGATGGCTATTTGTCTATATTTTATACATTTTGATGGATGTTTCTTCAATAGATATAGGGTCTATAGGCCTATATCTTTTTTGTTTCTGTATTAGTTTGGGAATTGACAAATTAATTTGCTTTTTGGCATTTCTAGTCATTTATTCAAATTCACAAAATGTGAAAGTCGACTTGTATATAGCAACATCAGAAAATTATACTCTCAGCCTTTTAATAATAATTAAAAAAAAGAATTAGTATAATCAGCTGATTGGGCTGTCCGTTATTTATTGAGGCATCAGTCTTAAAGCAAGGGCTGCATTATTTTCCCTTTTTTAAAAAATATTCACAAAGCTTTTGATGGGGTGATAGGGAGCAATTTCTTTTCTGTGGCTTCTGTTACTTCTCTTTACTTTATGCTTACTTTACTTTTATCTGCCACTTATGCCCTTTTGGGTGTCGCGGGATTACTTTAAGCCATTCGAGAAAGCCAAGCTGAGGGTAACTTTTTCATTTAGGGTTGAGACTTTTATTTTTATTTTTCATTTTATGGCTGCTTTTTTTCCCCCCTGAATTTTTTCAGTTTTTCAAAAACGCTCAATCCCCCATTCTTTACTTTTGTCATTTGTCCCTTCCCGTGTGGGTTTGTTTTTTATTTTTGCTTCTGGTTTGTTTGGTTATGACAATGATAATACATAACAAGATGGGCCACTCAGCCAAAAAAGTGTCCGCAGGAAGTATGCTCTTTGCTTCAGATGGCGCTGCAGTCTGTTTTGAAGCTCTCTTTCGTTTTTCCAGAAGAAGAATAGGAATAGCACCTCCTTGCGTGCGCAGATCGACTGCTGTTCATCAGCAGTTCGGGTACGTTCAGTGCGGAGTTTTAGTTTTTTAAATATTTTAATGACCTCTCGCCTTTCATTCTAAAGTCAAATTAAACAAAGAAAACCATCACCTTTTCCTCCGGAAGAGGTTTTTTGTCAGCGTAACCATTTTAAAAAAGCGTTCTTCCGAAATTTATCCAAAAAACTTGCTAGTTTCACTTTGATTTTGTAAAACTCAAGTAGGGTAACTCTGTTCGCAAAGAGTGCGCTTTTGTGAAGAGGGCGCCACCAAATTTGGAGGACACTTTTTTAATTGGCTCAAAGAGAGAAGTGGCCCATCTTGTTATGTACTATCATTGGTTATGATAAGTATTCATTTTCCTCTTTCTCTCATTGACACTTCTACAGGATGGTTGCTGTCCCACATTTAAGATAAGATAAGATGAGATATAATATTTTATTATCCCCGAGGGAAATTTTTCTTGGTTGTACAGGACCGACCGTAAAAACACATGCAGGTATACATAAAAAATTTTAAGTTTTTAAGTTGTGTTGTTCAGGAGATTACAGTCTCGCTGAATGTTCAAGGTTAAATAAAATATGAGTGGGTTATTAATGAATATCGACGTTGCTGGAAACTTTGGTCTTTATGGACTATCCTCGTAGGGTGGAGTGGGGGTGGGGAGAGAAACGAACATGTTTCCTCCTGAGCCGGCACGTTTTTTTTTTTTTAATGAAATCGTCTTTTTCCTTTTTAAAAATAAAATCAACTCTTCTCGTAGCACATCAGAATGCCGGAAATGAACTTCGCTTTAAAGGCGTTGTTCTTTTCCCTTGGCCCATTTTATTTCTTTGCTGTCGAAGCTAAAGTCGTTGCAATGTTGAACTGGAACAGGTAATGAATACAGCACTTCACTTTTTGAAATTTATTTTTGGTTTATTTAGTTGGGTTTTTTTCATGTTTCTTTGCATTTGAAAATGTGTTGATTGCTTGTTTTTTTGGGGGTTTTTTCCCAAGTATATCCATGTCTTTGATTGGAATGTTTAAAAGGCACAAGCATGATAGTTGTAAAGTGCATAGAGCATGCTGTAGAGCATGGATGTGCATTTTTCAAATGCAATTATTATTATTATTATTATCATTATTATTATTATTATTATTATTATTATTATTATTATTATATGTATTTGCTCAACGTGCAAGCCTCACTGATGAACACTGTCACTTTAAGTCAATCAGCATCTCAATCGGCATCACAAAAATATTATTCATAGTTAACTGGATAGCTCTGCATGTTTGCAGATAGCTGTGTATCTTAGTGAGAATGTGGTTCAAATCTTTGCATGTGAAAGTGATGATTAGTTCTTAGAAATATTTATAGTCTTAAAAGTATGGCTAATGTTCTCGTCATATGCTTGATATAACTAGCATGCACGTCAGAAGAGAGTGTTCTTTTTTTTTAGATTCTGTAGTTGGTTTTTTTGGGGTATGTTTTGTTACTTTTGATTTGAATGAAACAAACTTGGTTTGATTTTGTGTTTTTTTGTCTATGTGTTTTTTGTAGTTTGTTTCTTTTATGATTTTGCATGGTTTTTTTTTTGCACCTTACTGAACAATCGAGCATATGCAAGCAAGCCTTTTGGTAGTGTTGTATTTTTTGTTGAAATCTGCTTGGAGAACTTTATTTGTGTGTGCAGTCTGAGAGATTGTGTTGTTTATTTGTGTGTGAAGTCTGAGAGATTGTGTTGTTTATTTGTGTGTGAAGTCTGAGAGATTGTGTTGTTTATTTGTGTGTGCAGTCTGAGAGATTGTGTTGTTTATTTGTGTGTGCAGTCTGAGAGGTTGTGTTGTTTATTTGTGTGTGAAGTCTGAGAGATTGTGTTGTTTATTTGTGTTTTTTGTTGGTCTTTTTTGTTTAATTTTGTTTTGTTTTGTAGATGTAGTTTTGTCAATTTAGTAGGGATACTCTTGTTTTGTGTCAAGTGAGAGAGGTTTTTTTCCAGAGATTTTGTTTTGCATGGCTTTGTATTTGTCCTTGAAATGCTTCTTGTGAAGATGAAAACATTTTTTTTCCCTCCTTATTGTTATGTTAGTATAAAAGGATAATAACAGGTGAAATGCATCTTGTGAAGATGAAAACATTTCCCCCCCCCTCCGTATTGTTGGTATAAAATAATAACAGCCAAGCAATCCTGTTCTGAGGTGATTTGATAACTTTACTTATTAACCCTATCCGTACGTCGTGTTTTACTATCATATCCATACGACGTGGGAACTCTGTTCCACCACTGTCCAAAGAGGAAATTTACTCGTTGATCCGATCCGTACGCTTTGCATAACAGTCCGTCCAAATGATTTTTTGAGAAATGCTGAAAGTTTCAGAGATCTTCGCTCTAGAAGTATTCTAAAATGTGAAGAATATAACGCCGGGGGCACAAAATGACCCCAGGACGTACGGATAGGGTTAACATGTGATATGTTGTGTTGTTTCATATCGTCAGCAAGCTGTTCAAATGTAATATGCCCATAAAACAAAATTGTTCAAGAGAGAAAAAGCTGTTATATCATTTTTAACAATTGAACATACATTATGTATTTATTCTGGCTTTTTTTTTCAACATTTGGAATTCGAATAAAGTATTTCTCAAGCACATGCAACCAATACCACAGATTATGCGACTGCAGTAAACAAACAAAAACAAAAAAAAGTAGGAATTTCAAGATTTTGGGATTAGTGCATTTTAACAGCTGGGTGATGATATTTAAATAACTTCATCTCAGGACCTAATCATGAGATCATCATTATGTTGTTACACAAAGAACCGAACGTGTGTAATTGTAATTTCCTCAAAATTATACTTTGGGAAAACTTTCATCCTCTTGTTTTGCGTGGTATTAGTGCTCATTTCGATAGCTTAGTGTAAGACTCCACCAGTTGGCAGTTGGTGGGTGCTCTGGTGTCGTTTGCTTCTTCTTTCCTATCGAACATCTATCGTCCTTGTCTCTCCTTCTTCTTTTTTATGTTTGTTACTCTCTTGTAACACCTCTAACCTTCTGGCGTTCATATGACCTTATGAAGTTGCAAGTGCCGTAAAACTCTATTAAAACTAAATTAAACAGAATCTTACACTGAGCAGATGATTTTGTGTTTTTGAGCTCAAGACCCGAAGGCAATTGTAAATTAATCTTTGTTTGTTTTGCCTGTTCCTTCTCCAGTCTACATAATAATTACACTTTTCTTTGACATTTCAAGAATAAGCGAATGTTCATTCTTTATGTCATGTTTCTAACATACCATTCAGCCATCTTTCTCATATGACTTTATGCAGTTGCGAGTGCCGTAAAACGCTTACCTTACCAACCATCTTTGAAATACTTGATTTGTACACTTGGGGTTTTATGGGGTACCGTATCAAACTTTTTGTGAAAGAAAAGAAATCCTTATTTTCTGGGTCTCCCAATATTGCTTTCAGATTGAGGAGCTGGAGCGAGATATAATTGCTCTGGAAAACATTCTTGGAGGCTCGGACTCTGCTCTCCATTGTGCTTTGTCTTTGGAAGACGATGAAGAGACAGATGATGAGGATGATGATGATGATGATGAAGCAGAAGATGAAGAAGACCCAGAAGAGGTAAGATACATTGCGTCATTGATGATTGCCCCCTGATGATGTGGTGAATACATTCGAAATTGTCTATGACAGCCGCTGTGGAGGAGAAATGTGGACCCCCGGGGTGGTGCTACTGACTGAAGTGTCTTTAGGCCATTCCCAAAGGGGGGACATTAACCATGTTCTTATGCACAGTAGCATTGTAATTGTATATGGACTGATTCGTCAATGTCATGTATAAGACAATCACCTGTACAAACTACCCCTGGCCTTTTGGGTTACATTTCAAGGTTCGGACAATAGTTGACACTGATTTCAGGGACAGCAAAGTTTCTCAGTGACACCCATGGTGTATGTATGTGTGTGTGTGTGTGTGCTAGCGTGTAGGATGTTCATCTCCAATTGGACCCAATGCAAGTTCTGTGAATCTAATTTTGTTGTTTTATATTTTTAACGGACAGCAGGAGGAGAGGGAGGATGAGGAGAAAGAGGATGAGGAGGAGGAAGAGGAGGAGGAGGATTGGCCGTGTACAGAATTTAAAATGTCAGTGGCTCGTAAAACTTTCATTTGATGGACATTGTATTTCCTAGTTCATCTTGACATTAAAATTTGCCACTGTCTCTCTTCTGTGAATTGCCAGTCGCAAGAGGGCTTAGCCGGTCATGCGCTGCTAAATGTCGCGTCGTGCATAAGGAGACATAGGCTTAGAATTACAAACTTCTGTCTGGCATTTTTGGCTGTTTTGAGTTACTAAGACCATGAGGACAGAAACCAAATATTTTATCTGCTCTATCAAAATTATAAGATTATTTGGAGTAGTTTTCAAGATATTCAAAGATTTGCATTAGAAAAGGCGTGCTTGACATGATGTGAAACTCAAACTCTTTGACATCAAATTTCTCAAGACAAACTTCTGAGCTGATAAAACTTTGTAATTCTGAGGTAGCGATTTGTACAGGTGATTGTCTTATACAGGTAGCCATTGGAACAGGTTTGACTGTACAGATTTTTAAGAGAGAAGGATATATAAAGAAAAATATAGGGAAAAAGAAGGTAGAAAAAATAATATGCCGAGTGAGGAGGCAGAGGGGATGGATTTTACTGAAATATTTATTAGTTTTGTATTTAGCAATCACAGTACCAATTGTACATGTGAATCTTTTATAGGGAAAAGGAGATCAGGAGCGATAATGACTGATAATTTTTATTCATTTCTTTCTCTTTCATCTGTCAGGCAAAAATTTGTCTTGGTCATTTAAAATGACACTGGTGTTGCAAAGGTTGTTAGGTGCATTCATGCACTTGGGGGGGGGGGAATATAATGGTGGGGCGATAAATAGAAGGGGAAGATATGGGCCTGTTCACCCACATTTTTCTTCCTGATGGTAGTGCTAATTTTACAGTGAAGTTTTAAACAGTCATAAAGCCAGGAGGAGATGAAAAAGAGACACAAAAAGAGAGAAAGAAACGGGAGAGAGAGAAGTTGCCAGAGGAGGGGAAGAAAAAGAAGCACAGTTAGGCTGGATTTTTTCTCGAATTGATTTTGTCGATGACTGTGGTACTTTTAATGATGCGAACAATTTTGTTTTCAGATGAGGAGGAGACGGGAAGAGGAAGAAAAAGAAAGAAAGAAGCAGGAGGAGAAGAAGTGGCGTGAGGAAGAGGAGAAGAAGCGGCGCGAACAGGAGGAAGCTTGGAGGAAGCGCGAGTTTGCCGTGCCGCACGCGATAGTGAGACCGCAGCCTCGTGTGGAAAGTGAGGAGGAGAAGAACCCACCGAGGTTCCCACCACTGGATGATCATGAGCTGCCAGGTAGGTTTGATTTGAGTCATTTCTGTTTTTCAATCAAAAGATAATAATAATAATAAATGACTTTTATATAGCGCTCAACCCCGATTAAAGTACACAGGCTCTGAGCGCTTTACAATACAGTACAACGTACAACAGTAACATAAAACGTTGTGTTCTGACTAAAGAAAATTATTCCAAATATCCACCTTATTAATTTAATAAGAGAAACGACTTCAGCTGACATTTGAATGAATCAAAAGATAGATAATATATGTGTCGGGACGCAGTGGAATCAGACGCTCGTCAATTTTTGGGCATGTGGAGTTATTGATATCCCTTTAAAGCTTGTTTATTCGTCTTGCGTCCTGATGAAAAAATATCAATTTATCGTGAATACATGTTGAGATCTTGGAGATTAAAGGAGGTGGAGTCGTCTGATTTCAGAGGTAAAATTAGCGCGAAGATGGCAGTCAAAGTTTGGTTATTTCCTTTGCTTGCACTGTACCGTTTTACTGACAGACCCTGTAACATTCTGAAACATTCTCAGCTTCCTGGGCAGCATCAGTACTAACAGCCATTTTATAGACCATCATCATTGCCTTTTTCACCCTGGATCAGGATATTGGCCACGAACAAACACTTTTCACCTTTCCCTATCCTGGGCAAGTTGCTTGATGTCACTCCATGTCTTCCCACTTTTCTGTTCATCCATTTCCGTGACTCTTCTCCAGGTTCCACATGGTCTTCCCCTTTATATATAGTCAGACATAAATTTTTCACTGTCTTGATCAATAACCCGTTTCCACCATAGTGTAGTAAGGAAAATGTGTGTAAAGTGTCTTCCCCGAGTGCCAACATAGCTCCTGGACAAGGATTCTTGCCCATGACCTAACGCTAACGGTTGGGAATCTCAATCCACTACCTGCTGATGCAACATTATGGTCTACACATCTCAGGGTTGTTAGCTTTTATGGCATTTTGCAGATTGGATTGATAACAATATCAAAATATCACATTTCACATACAGCAGGTTGCCTCTTTTTTCTATTAAAATCCGATCCGGAAGTGCTCCATTTTTGTTGACTACAGTCGATACTGCTCTAATGGCCACCTGTATACATTCAGACAATCACTTGTACAAATGGCTGATCCCATTTACCCTCTTTTTTGGGTTGTTTTTTCTTACATTACAAAGACACTGTGCAAGTGGTACGCTTTTCAGATACAACCGCTTTAGTCCATGTCTATGTTCTATCCACGTTTTTCAGTAAAAAAATCCTCCTAGTAATATGTTTGTAAATGGACATAAAATTCATAAAAGGTGTTGAGTTAAAAAAAAAAAAAAATCTATATATATAAATTGTCAAAGTGGAGAAAAATTGGTGATATCTTCGATTTCATTATTTTGACAAGCGTCTGATTTGACCACGATGCCTGACAGCTTATTATTGTCATCTTTGTTTTTCTCTCTCCAGATACTCGAGTCCACCTAGGCCGGCTGGGTCGTCTCAACTGGAGCCCGGAGGACTGCAGTGGGGAGGAGAAGATGGACTTCTCTCAGTACGCCAGCACCTGGCTCTGTCCCACTGCCAAAGGGCTCAGGTGATTTATTGATTTATCAATTTATTTTTCTAGGTATTTGCAAGATAGAAGTTTTGTAATTCTAACATTTGAAGGTATGAGGTGATGGATGCTTTGTTGAAATTATGAGTTGGGCCGAAACTAAAAACCAAAGAGGTATCTATCTCTCTGAGAGGTCACTAGAATGTTGTTACTATTTGTTACTTATTACTGTACTACCATCTCTTCCTCCCTCGGTGGGTGGTTGGCATGTGCTCTATCGTGGTTTGCTCCTTCTTTCCTATGATACATCTATCATCCTTTACCTTTCCACCTTTTTTCTTTGTATGTTATTCTCTAGTAACACCCCTAACTTTGGGCACTTATATAACCTATTTGTGTTACAAATGCCGTAAAACTCTTTTACACTTTGCAGCCTCATCTTGCCGAATGGTGATGTTTACCACACAGTTTCTTTGGATTTCCCCCCAAAATATGATGGCAAAGTGTTAAATTTTACTTTGAAAAAAAAACCGCGAACAATTTTTCCCTCAGGCTGGAGGAGTATATTGACTTTGACGAAATGATCAAACACGAGCAGGAGGAGCCCGTGTGTGACAGGAAACTTATCTCTCCTGTCCGGGCCATGGGACATCTGCCCAGCATCATGTCTCGGGGAACGCTTAAGCTGTCGCCGGAGGTCGGGCTCAAAGAGGTGAGTCCCGCTGATTGGTTGGAAAATGCTGAAATAGTATAGATTTAACACTTTGCCATCTTATCTCGCTGATTGGCGATGTTTATCGTTCAGTTTCTTTGGATTTTCCCCAAAATACGATGGTGAAGTGTTAACGCCACGATCAACGGTCTTAGGTTATTTAAGAGGCGGGACCTCCGAGTTTAACGTCCGTCTCCGAAAGGACCAAGCCAAGTGGGAAATTTATGTAAAGTGCCTTTCCCAAGGACACAATGTCGGACCGAGCTGAGGCTCGAACCCCCAAACCCGCAATCTCACAGTTACTTACGAGTCCGGTAGTCTAACCACTAGGCTACCGACGCCACTCTGATGGGTTGTGTGGCTGGTGTGTTTAGTAGTGTACATTCAAGGAGAGGAGTTTTAGACGGTGCACATCACGCTGTTACTGTCGCAAGCAGTCCACTTCAGTCGAAACTTTTAAGTATTTATTTTTCAATTTTTGCCCCCC